TCCTTATCTGAGAGTTTACCTAGATTTTGCCTCATGATAAGACTTTATCTTACCTCTCCGTAGTCTTCTGCCATGGGATACGATTCAGAGACCTCTCACAAGAAGGCTGCCTGGCTTCCCAAAGACCTTGGTGTCCTGACCGTGGGGTGATTTCTCTGCCTTTTCTCTGGCCCAGCCCTTTGCTTTTCAGGCTAAAGGGGGTCCCACATTGTGGATAGTGGGTTCTTTTCTCAGCTTCCTCAGCTGCCTGCCCTTCAGTCTTCAGACTACAAAAGGGGGCCCCATGTTGGGTGCCCGTTTATCACACGACTAGCTCAGCTCACCACAAGAGCAAGGATCCTATACTAACCTTGAAGGGATAAGAACAGCTTAACCTTCTGTCTCGAATGCACATTGATGAGGCAGGAGACAAGATGGAAGCAACTCCATTTAATTTTAACAAAGCATTCACTTAAGTAGTAAAGTAACAGGAACTTCTTCTCAAGTCACAATGAAGTAGAGCTCATGCTGTGCTAAGGACAGTACATGCACATCCTGTGCACTTATCTGACTCCAATCACAGATAAACTGCTAATGACCATACAATAACTAGGGGAGTTAAAGATTGTTAAAGATCCATATAATGGAGCACCAAACCAGGTGACCTTTGCTCATAGATCAGCACCCGAGAGGGGCCCTCCACCCATCAGTGAGACCTCATGAACAGCCTGTGGCCCTCTACATCCTTACAGATCCTTAACAATCACATAGATAGCTATGGAGAAAATGAAACCCTTAAGTTCCTACTCATTTGTAAAATTCTAACAAGATATGATTGTATTTTAGTGTCTCCAGTTTCTTTATTTATTTTGTGCATGAGGTGATGGGTCAATGAGTTTCAGAAGTACTGTCAGGGAAATTCCTTCAATTTGATTAAGTAGTTTCAAGGTCAGTGTGTTGAAAAAGAGAAATTTCTTGCTTTTGTTTTCCCATAAATCTTTCATAGTGAAACTGCACAATGCTGTAGATGGTTTCCCTTTGTTCCTTTTTCAATATTTCGCACTGCAACATCATCCGTTTATTGACTCATTCTTTCTATATGATTAATTGGCTTCCATTTCTTCTAATACATATCTTTGAGAACTTTAAAATAGCATTTACTACATCTAGCAAAGAATAAATAGTTGTTGAACAATTTGGTACTAGAACTTAGTTATAATTCAATTAGTTCATCTGGAAACATTGGGGAAGGACAAGATGGCAGGTACCAGATAACCGAGGCAGGATCATTCCTAAGAATAAGATGTAGTGAAACTAGGATTAGAATTAAGTCCTAGTCCTTAGCAGTTGTCTGACCATGAAGAAAAGTAATTTAAACTTTCTTTGCTCCTCATTTTCCACAGGGCCATGAGGAAAGCACTTTGTTATCTATAAAATGCAATATAAATGTGAGTTATCCTTATAGGATTATAGTTTTTACAGTTGGATTAATAATATCAATAACAAATTACATTTTAATAAATCAATAAATATTTAATAAGCCCTTATTTATGTATGAGTCATGGTGGTAGGGACTGAGCATACAAAGTTAAAAATGAGAGGCTTCCTCCTCAAGGAGCATACATTTATAGGAAGGAGGGCACACAAAAAGCATACATGGGAATAAGTGTACACAAAGTAAATACAGAGTAATTTGGGGAGCACTCAAAGCTAGGAGATCATCAAAGTCCTCAGGTAGGAGGAACTTGAGCTGAGGTTTGAAAGCATTGAAGAATTTTATCTTGGCAGAAGTGAGGATGGAATATGTTCTGGGCTGTGTGCACATCTCAAGTAAAGGCACTGAGGGAGAAACGGATTGTTGAACTTTTGTTGAACTTTTGGAAGAACTATGGGTGAGAATCCCACAGGGGCAGTTATGGGTGAGTTGTGCTCTGCTCTGTTGAATCCAATTCTTAAAACTATGACATCATTTTCACATGTGTAATTGATATATTGCTTGCCTTTTTAATGGGAGAGGCTGAAGGGAGGAAAAGAAGTTGGAACTCAAAATGAAAAAAAAGATAGTAAAAATAAAAAATAAATTAAAACAACTACTATGAGTTCTTAGATCCAGTTGAGTATTTGAGTGGTATAATGGAATCAGACTGTGAAAGGCTTTGAATACCAGAGTTTTGTTTTTTTATAGGCAATAGACAATTACTAGAGATTTTTTGAGCAAAGGAATGACTTGATCAGACTAGTGCTTGAGGATATCACTTTGGCAAATGTATGGAGGAAGGATTGGAGAGGGACAAGTTGGAGATTAGGAAACCAATTATAAGGCTTTAGTACAGGCTAGATGCAATGAGTACCTGAACTAAGAGGTGGGATCGAAGTATGGGAGTGGAGAGTGAAGGATAACTGAGGTTCTGAATCTAGGTGCCTGGTAGGATGGTGCCTTTAATAGAAACCGGAAATTAGGAAAAGGAAGGGCTTTGGGAGAAAGGTGAGTTATACTTTGGACCTGTTAAGTTTGAAATACTTTATACAGAACTTTATACAGTTATAGATACATTGAGATCTGGAAAGCATTTTGTATTGGATGGGATGTTAAGAGATCATCTATCTTACTATTGTGTTCAACTTCATTTTATAACTGAGTAAAAGGAAGTGAAGAAGGAATTACTTGACTTGTGTAGTAAGGTCATAGATGGTAGGAAGGCAGTCCAGGGTACTTTCCAGGACAACACACTTTCTTCTTCTTCTTTTTCAAGATAAACACTTTTCTTTTTTATGAACTTAGTCATCAACATGTATCAACAGTTCGGTACACAATAAAAAAAAGAGATTGTACCCAACCCTATAAACTTAAAGTACATTAAATTAAATAACAACTGACTAGGAGGCAGTTGTTTGTCCTCGCTTTTTGAAGTGGACCACAGACATCAGCACGGTAATGTCCTGAGTTGCAAGTGAATTGGATTTAAGTGAGGGAGGGCTGTGCAAAGTCACCAGCCCCACTGTCTCTTCCAGAGCCATCTGGGTCCAGTGGCAAGATACAGATTAGCACAACTGGAGATGTCCCCTGGGAGGCAGAATGGTACAATGGAAAACAGGACGTGCAGTGGTTTAATGGAAAGTGTGCTGATGTGAGTCAGAGAAGCTATTTACTAATCCCCTCTCTGGCATCAGTGTGTGACCTGGGCAAGTCACAACCTCCCTGGTCCTGTTTCCTCATCTGTAATGTGAAAAGGTTAGATCAGATCGACTCTGAGGTCCCTTCTTTAGGTGCTGCCCCTGAAGTACTGAACTCCATGTGCTGAACTCCATTTTGTTTTCTGACCTTCACCTTGTATGCCCTTCTTCACGGAAGTAGGAGCTCCCGCCTTAAAAACCCGCCAAGAAAGATACCCACCCCAGTCTTATTCCATGGTCCTTATAAAGTCCCAAAGGCAGGATTAACCCATCGCTTGTTTGGCTTCTGTAACTTCCCGCTTAGGCAACCCCTGACCGGTTCCTCTGTGGCCTCTGCCTTTATAAACTCAAGCTCTGCCCCTGATTGCGGCTGCTTGATTCGGGTGTGCATACCCCTTGCAGCGCCCCCCCCCCCCCCCCCCCCCGTAAATCCACATTTCAAATTACGTCTGAGTCTCACTTGCTGATTTCTCTGTACCAACACCCCCTATGTCTAGACCTAGAACTGTAAGAACTGGCTTCCCCAGCTCTGCCACTTACTACCTATGCATGACCTCAGTCTCTCATCAGCTCCTCTCTGCTGGAGCTTCTTTATAAAATGAGGGGTTGGACTAGATGACTGATCCCTTCCAATCCCTTCCCCCCCCCAGGTTCTAAAGCCAAGATCCTACAATCCCAAGGCTTGGATAAAAGGACAAGAAGGTAATTTAAGAACTCAACATCAGTATTTCAAATCAACAAGCACTTATTAAGTGCCTAGTACATGCCAGACTCTCATTTTACAGATGAGGAAACTGAGGTGCAGGGAAGCAGTGACTTCCCCAAGAATCTGAGCTGGAATTTGAACCCCTCTTAAGAGTTCAGAAAGGGGGCAGCTGGGTGATGCAGTGGATAGAGCACCGGCCCTGAAGTCAGGAGGACCTGAGTTCAAAGGTGGCCTCAGAGCAAACACTTGACACTTACTAGCTGTGTGACCCTGGGCAACTCACTTAACCCCGATTGTCTAAAAAAAAAAAAACAAACCCCAAAAACAAAGAGTTGAGAAAGCACTTCTTTCTCTTGTACCTTCTGGACTCCAAGAAAACCACTAAACAGAAAACCGAGCCCCCGTGTATAAGGAATTAATAAAAAGAAAACAGACCACAACTGTTTTTTGTCAGAGGACAAAGTTAAATTTGGGAGAATTTATCAGTCATTTCGTGACAGAGCAAACCCACTTCCGGATGGTCCCGGTTGTGAGCCTCATCCCCTCCCCTCCCCGTCCTCGCATGGGGGTCCCAGGGGGCCCTTCCGACCACCATGGACTCCTCCAGCCCACGGGGGTCTCCACTGCACCAGCCACGCGCTCGAGGGGATTTAACTACTACGCAACAGGATGCACGTGGCAGCCGCGGCGAGCAGCGAAATGACGCGCAACGCACGTCGGCGTGATGACGTCGTAACCTGCGTCATCCCGCGGCCCACAGCCAGGACTTCCTGCAGAAGTATCTATGCAAGAGGCGGGAGGTTGGGGCAGCGTCTATGCGGCCGCAGCCCGACCACCGTGGCCCCTCGTCCCGGCTGCCGGGCGCGCGGCCCCCGCTTGTTGGGAGGCTCGGAGCCGCAGGCCGGGGACGCCGAGGCCGCTGCTCTCTACCGCGAGAGCGGAAGCTGGAAGAAGCCCCAGCGCGCGCTTCTGGGCCCGAGGCGCGTCTCCGGCCGGCGTGGCGTGGCATAGCGTGACCCGCGCTGCCCCTCAGTCCGAGCTCGAGGGGGCCACGTGGTCTGTTTAAAAACAAACAAACCCAAACTCACAGATATCCTAAAGAAAAGCCCCCCAAAAAATCTTAAGTGCTTTTACCGCGAGAAGGGAGGAAAAATAAGAAAATGTCCCTCTTCCCCAAAATAGCCTTGAGACCCGAAGTCGAAGACTACCTCAGGGCGAGCTTTAAGAATGAGGAGGTAGGTCGGACGGCGCAGTAGTCAGAGAGTGCTGGTGCTGAGGGCCCGAGGGGAAGGAAGCCGAGGCCCCCTGTGGTGACGGGAGGCGGGGGCCGCGGAGGGTCCGCCGAGCAGGGCTGCGGGAGAGCCTGGAACGGGAGGAGATCGGAGCGTGCACGAAGCAGAAGCAGCCAGCTGCCCGGGAGGGAAGTGATCTAGATAGAGAGAGAAGCGAGCTGGGCGCATCGCGATGTCGTGCGCGGTGCCGTCCTCTGCGTGTGAAAGTGCTCGTTTAGTTTGTGCTTACGAAGGTCAGGCCAGAAACAAATGCTTTGGAGTAAGGAGCTGGAGAAGATGGGCAGAGGCATCGCTTGGCCACCAGGTGGCGACTGGAAGCCAGGAAGACCTGTGTTCGAATTCCATGTCTAATCACTGAACGTGACCAGCCGGGTGACTTCTGCCCAAGTTCCTTACCGTCTCCTCGCTCCAGGCAGTTGAAGTGAAAGCGCTAACTTGCCTTGCTAACATGGAATTTCCTTACCCAGGAGTGCCCTATCCCGTTGAAATCCAAGGTTGCGTCACGAATTTAAGGTTAGGGTCAGTTATAGATAAACTGGGAGGGACTTTAGAGGTCCTTTAATCCGACTGCCGCATTCTACAGAGAAGGAAACAGACTTGAGAGGTTGAGAGACTTGAAGGTAATCATGCAGCAGTGCGGATGTGAACCCGGGTCTTCTGACCACAGGTCCACTTAGTGGTAACTGTACTATATAATAGGAAGAGGTGGGGCAAGCACAGTACCCAGTGAAATCACAGATTTTTAAAGTAAAGGTTGGAAATGGACTTCCCAGGCTGCAAAGACTCAACGGCAGGAAGGAGTAAATAATAAACACTTTCCCTCTTAGGATTCTCTAAAGTTGCAGATTTTTCGTAGGTATTCAGTATGCCTTTTTTTTTTCTTAATATTAGACCACTGATTTCATCAGTTATAGAAGCCTCCAACAAAGTAAACAGTTACTAGTTACCAGCTTTTGGGTAACTGCTTAGGGTTTTGCTTCCTCCCTAGCAACTCTTACCAAAGTATATTGGCACTTGTTTTGCAATTTATAGGCCTAGGGAGTGACCCGAGGCACAGAGGTTGGGTGATTTGCACTCGGTCAAAAAGCTTGTGTGTTGGAGATGGAACCTGAACCCAGGTCTTTCACTCAACCTTGCTGTTCCCTAAGGTGTACTTCGGGACAAAGGGGATCCTAGCTTTTTCTACATTTAATTGTTTTAAGTGAAGCTACCTGAGTGTTACTTGTTTTTAATGTTTTGCATTTTTAGGGAAGCTTTGAATTAACTTCAGAAATCAAGTTCTTGAAAGAACCATTTAATTACACTGGTCTAAATAGCAACACAGAAAAAGCAGCCGTTCCCAGCGCCAGCCCTCTTGGAGTTCATAATGAAGAAGCATATATCCAAGTTCAAGTTTTATAAGGCCGTAGTGTGGTGTAGTTGTGGCAACAGATTTGGAGACATGAGGCTTTAGTTTAGATTTATGCTACTCCTAGTTATGGACCTTGGCTAAGATGCTTAACTTTCTTAGTTTTCCGTTTGTCAAACAAGGTGGTGGTTGATCCCATATGATCCTAAAGGTTTCTTCTACTTTTTGATCCTGCCACATCTAATGCCAGAAAAGAATAGATGACATACCCCTCTTCTAGTATATTTTCCCCTAAATACATATTATTCATTCATGTCATAATCAATTATAATAGAAGCTTGACTAATTATGATTACACATAGAATGTTAATGAATGATACTTTGAAGATTTTGTAAGTAATTTCTCAGTGTTAATAACAAAAGTAGATACAGCAAAATGCAATGGAATTAGATCAGATGCTAAAACGTGTTTCTTGAAATGGAGCAATAATCAAAAAATAAATGGTTCTCTTTTTTAGGACATCGTTTTAATTGAGTTTTCCACTTGAAAAAAAGAAGTCAGTCTTGCATTCCTGTTTTTTTCTTTTTCTTTCAAGATTGTAACTGCTTTAGGTGTTCAGGAAGCAGAAAGGAAATTTGAAACCTTGTTAAATCACTTGTCACACCCGCCAGCATTCACAACTGTTAGAGTGAATACTCATTTAGCATCTGTAAAACATGTGGAAGATTTGCTGCTTGAAGAAATAAATAAGGTTTGTTGAATTCTTTATGCATGTTAGTAATCATAATCTAATGTTTGTTGGACTGATGAAGCTTTCTAGAAGCTATAGGATCATGGGCAAGAAATCTTTAAATTCTCTGGGTTTTGGAGTTTCCTTGGCTTTGAAAGAATGTGTGTGTTGGTGGGGAGGAGGTTGGAGAGTGGATGCAATGATTTACAAGGTTCCTTTCACAAAAAAATCAGAGATTTTATGAAAAAAAGTAGTGTCATAGCTATCTGTGAGTTGATTCCGGCTTTGTAACTTTGATTTTCCCTTCTGCTTATATGAAATGTGACATGGCTGTCACATTTCTAAATAGTTGAGGGAGCCAGCCTCCTGTCTTTTCCTCCCAATAGTCTGTCTTTTTTTTTTTTTCATTACTTATAAAACTGGCAGAAATAGATAGTTGTGAGTTCTGGCCAGTCATTTCTTTGAGCTTCTGTTTCTGTGTAAAATTTCTCCTTAAGTGACTTGTACTATTTAACCTACCAGCTCCTTTTAACAGTCAAGTGAAAATGTACATGTGCTTTATACTGTAGGACTTTGTAAAGTGAAGCAATATATAAATAATGTATACTATTATTTCTTTTTATCCCTTAATTTTTTTTCAATTATCAAATTTTTATTTCTTTTCTCTTTACCTCCTTACACCCACTAGGGTGAAAAATACAAAATCTTGTAGCATGTAAGTGTATTCAGACAAAACATATTCCCACATTTGCCATGTACAAGAATGTGTTTCTTATTTTTCACATTAGTCTATCATCTCTCTCTGTCATGAAGTGAAGCATTTTTCATTATCAGTTCTCTAGAGTCATGGTTGATCATTGTGTTGATCAAAGTTCTTGAATCTTTCAGAATTGCTCATTTTTACAATATTGATGTTACAGTATAAATTGTTTTGTTGCTTCTCCTCACTTCATTGTGTTTCAGATCATACAAGTCTCTCAAGTTTCTCTCCCTTCACCTGTAATACGGTAGCAAAAGTACTACAGAAGAAACTGAGAACCTAACACACTATCATGGATCTAACACATTTCGTGATTCTGTTTCATAGTGGTGTAACAATCACAAATATTATCCAAAGTTCAATATATCTATCTACACAAGTTTATAAGAGACATTACTTTCTGACTAAATACTTCCTCTCTTCATTTGTAAAGTGTTTGGTGAAGTGCTGTATAAATTCTAGCTCTGGCTGCAGCTATTGAAGTCATAATCTTGTTCTTTTGAATAAGTACTTGTTCAGAAATTAATCTGAAACTGAGTTTACATATAATTCTATGCAACTCCAGCTTTGCTAAAGTCAGGGAGGCTCATCATTAGAAGGTTGGCCAGTAAGGGATCTTTTCTTTTAGACCACAGCTCAAAGACTGTTTATGTTTACTAAGGCATGGAAGATGTTGTGATCTGTATCTGTGAATGGAATCTCTGTGCAGGTGAATTAAGTGTCTTCTTATATTAGTCTTTAATAATTGTGTCTGTTTATCTTAACAGCAGTTTAATGGCTTAAGTGTTCCAATTCTTCAGCACCCAGATGTTCAGGATGTGTTACTTATTCCTGTAATTGGACCCAGGTTTGTAACAACTTGGTTCAAAAACCATCTCTTATTAAGTAATAGGACTCTTCTCAACTAGTATGTTTTGATCATTTTTATGTTGTTTAATGATAGCATAAAGTTACTCTACCTTGCTCTAAAAATTTATCTGGTCTCATCAGTGTTGGCTTGGGAAAATTCATATTAACCTTAATAAAGAAGATAGCTATCTAAGAAAGAGCCAGAATCATTGCAAAGGCAAAGTAGAATTGGGCCTAGCATGCATTTATCTTAAATTGGGTGAAATGCATTTTAGGTTGATGTTTATGCATAAGCAGTAAGCTTTGTCATCAGGGAAAGTATTGTGCTAAAATCTTTTTCAGCAACAAAAGTAATACATATTATAACTTAGATATTGTAAGATAAACATTAGGCAAATACTGTTATTTGGAATACTCTGTCTTGATATTCTGGGATTTAAGTTATAGTGTTAAAGACATGAGATGTGAGCTTTCCTTTGTTATCAGATACTGTTGAGGGGTATGAGGAAACTGAGGAAGGAAAAAACACTTAATAAACATCTATTATGTGCCAGGTAGTGTACTAAGTCCTTTACAAATATTATCTCATTTAATCTTCACAGTAACCCTGGGAGGTAGGGACTGTTATTATCCCCATTTTACACTTGAGGAAATTGAGTCAGACAAATGTGAAGTGACTTGCCCAGGGTCGTATGGCTCAGCATCTGAGGCTGAATCTGTACTTTGAGTTTTCCTGATTCCAGGCACAGCACTCTATCTGGCCTTCTAGCTGCCACCAAATTGATACTGTATTTATCATGATCATCATTATTATTATTATATTAGTTTACTTCCTTGTGGGTCATTGTGATCTAATAGAGAGCTTGCCTTGTTGCCAGGGAGACGTAGATTCAAGCCTCGCCTCTAGCCTCTACTGCCTGTGCCCCTCAAAGCTTGAGGTCACCCTGATGACTCTAGGTGTAGCCAGGTGCAGATCTGCAGTGGCAGCAGAGGCCCTTCTGAGAGCTCTCTTTGCCAAGGACATCTCATGGCCAGCCCCCAACCCTTTTCTGATTCCTCAAACTGTCCTGTAGTTCTCCTCAAAGCCAGTGTGAAGCATAGAAAATCCCCCATTAAGAAATCTCAGCCTTTCTTCTTGGAACACATCTGATATGTTTTCAGTAATCTTTATTAAATGGCTACTCAGTGTCCATCATGTTGCCAGCATGGGGAGAGGGGGGGCAGGTGTACAAAACCAAAAGGGAGAAAGTCCCTGCTATCAAGGAGGGAGACACAGCATAGATGTAATTGGATTGGAAGAAGGGGTGCTCAAAGGATGGGGCTTGAAAAGTTTGTTACCACATAAAATTAATCATCTCCTTGGGATTTAGCCACATAGCTGCACATGTAGTATTCCTTGAGTACAGGTTACTGGTTTTGAGAATCACTTATTCTCCACCATCTTTCCTTTGTCTCTTGTACTCTTAGGGATTAGACTTCTGATGTCATTGGTTTGGGGAACTCCTACTGGGGAGGAACTTCTTCTGCTAATAATGTAGGTTGGCATCTTCACTGTACCTTACAATTTTAGTTGCCTGGAGGTTTCGAAGTTGGGTGACTTGCCCAGGTCACACAAAATCTGTGTCAGAGTCTAGACATGGACCTAAGTCTTCTTGGGTCCTTGGTTTTCTTTGATCTTTTCAAGCAAAGGCCTTAGCTACTATTGCTTTGCTTTTTTTTTGTTCTTCCAGTACTCTGCAGCATACAGATATTCAGGAACTGACTCATTGTTACCTGAGCAATTTCTACCACTACTTACCACGTGGATTTTTTTTCCTTTGTAATATTCCCCACCCCTTTTTACTACTTTTACTTTTTTTCTCTTTTATTCATTATTTCCTCTTTCTCACTCACCATTTCTTAGCTGGCAGTATCTCATGGTTTTTCTAAGCCTCAGTGATAATACTTCAAGCTGAAAAGTTGCTTTTAAAAAAAAATACCTTGGAGTCAGGAAAACTCCTCTTTTTGGGTTTAAATCTGGCCTGGGCCTTTACTGTCAGTCTGACCCTGGGCAAGTCACTTAACCCTCTTTGCCTTAGTTTCCTCATCTGTACAATGAGATTGTGAAGGAAATGGCAAACCACTCCAGTATCGATGACAGGAAAACCCCAGATAGGGTCACAAAGAGTTGTACGTGACTAAAAATGACTAAACAAAAGAGGAAAACTGGATTTTTAAAAAGCTTATAGACTTTAGGTTACACTGTTCTGTTTCATTTTCATGGTCTTGTATTCTTAGGAAAAATATAAACAAGCAGCTCTCGGAAGTCATTGTTGGAGCTCACTGTGGTAATGCTGTGCTAAGGGGAGCACATGTCTATGTTCCAGGAATCTTGTCTGCTTCAAAATGTAAGTGCACATTTTTCTTTTTGAGAGAATTATTCAGATGTGTTGGTTGTATGCCTTTTTCTTCTAATTATAAATTTGCCTTTGCCAAGCAAAATATTAGAGTTTAATGCACATAATTATGCTTAATAAATTAATTCCATTCAGCTTATCCTTTCTTCCTTTCTCTGTTCCCCTCTACACCTGCAATTCTTGGACCTTGTGGTGTTACTTGGTTCCACTAATTGGACTTGGTGCTTTCTTGGTATTTTTCTACTTTGTTAGAGGTTAGGATTTATTACTTCAGAGTTGGTGAGTGATGTGTTTTTTTCAATATAAATGTTCTTCAGAATTGGATCTGGTTCCAAATAGAAATCCTACTGATTTAGCTCTGAATAGATGGGTGTGTGTGTGTGTGTGTGTGTGTGTGTGTGTGTGTGTGTGTGTGTGTGTAACAGCAATATTTTTATTTGATTTTATGACTTCGTATTTGTGTGTGGCTTTTCAGTAATACTAGGTACACACACATTCTCATAAACTTATATAAGAGTCTGTAGATTAATAACTAGGTTGAAATTGATTACAGTTTGGTTTGGTTATTACTTTGACGTGATTTGAATAGCACAGTGCTCAGCTCGTTAAAACTGAGTGAATTTTTTGTTGTTTTGGTTAGTTTACTGTCAGCTTTAGGAGACTGCATGAAATTTCAAATTAAAAAAGCAGTGGATGAAGGACAGGGGAACATCAGATTTGTTATTTTTAGACTTTAATTTTATGATCATTGGTAGTTTAAATGTTCTCTGCTTTAAAAAAGATTGTTATGCTTTTGCAAATTAAAATGTGAAGAAATGTTTCATTTTATATAACTAATGTTTGTTTGCTAAATTGTTTGAAAAGAAAATAGCTAGTATACGTGGCCTATTGTTAATCTAACAGCTCTAATAGTAATTTCTTGGGGGTATGCTTTGATTTTTAGAAATTTAATTTTTATTTCATACAATTACCAATTTTATTGCAATGTTTTCATAATATATAATTATTTTTCAGTTTACACTTGAATTCCTTACATGAAAGACTTCAAGAAAACATTTAATTTTTTTGGAGACATTGAACATAATATTTGCATCACTCACAGTTTTGAGAGACAACATTGTGTAATGATTGCATGGCCAGCCTTAGAGTCAGAAAGACCTGGATTCAGATCTTGCCTCTTACACTATATGTGAAGCTGGGCAATTCGCTTAAACTTTCAGTGCTCCGGATAGCCCTCGAATAGTTGCTGGTCTTTGTTGGTAGAAGGAATAAGTCCAAACCAAATAAAATTGTCCCCATCTTTGCAAAAAACAAAAACCAGCTAAGTTAATTTAACTGTAGGATTGAGTGGCATAGTAGTGTGAAGATTGCAGATAAAGCTGAAGTACTTACCTCGGGTCTCTAAGACTTCCGCTGTATGAACCAGCAACGCAGTTTGGCATAATTCAGAACCTATGACTGTTCCATCTGGGAGAGAAGCACACAGAAGTTCTTTAGAAGTGAGCTGGTTTGCAAATAGTTATAACTCTCTTATGTGTATGAAATGATAAGAAGGCTAGAGGCAGCATGACACAAAGAAGATACTGTTTGATTTATGTCTGGCAAATAGTTTTTGCCAAATCTTCTAAAACTGTATTGTCTGTATAATTTATATGAACACCAAACCAATCTTACTCCTTTTAACTTCACCAGCTTCTTTTTACTGCTCCCCAGCTAATGAGGCTTAGAGTAAAAATATCTTCTCATGGCAAATAATATACCTTAATTTATTCCACAAACATTGCCTCTTACATGAACTAAGAAAATTTTTTTTTAAAGAGACCAGAAAAGAATCCTAAAAATATTGCTAATTGGCATTTGTCCAAGTTTTTGAAGAGTTGAGAATACATATCTATAAAAGTTATTTTGTTGTATTGATTCTTCCACAAAAAGTAGACTTGGAAAATACTTGCATTCAAGTGGTATTTACTGAAATAGGATTTGACCTGCAGTAATGTTACCTTCTTCACAAGAAGGAAGTGAGAAATTTGCCCTTCTGACATTTCTTCTTTGAAAGAATTGCAAAATTAACTTTGCCATTAGCCCTGATCTAAAAAACTAAAATCTGATATTTTTTGGTCAAGGACAGAATTAAAATGATGAGATAAGTTTGGTTTGATGCATGAGAGATCTTTGTAAAGGTCTCTCCCTTGATGTTTCTTCTTTGAAAAAACACAATTTAATGGGATCTTTTAATTTTCTCCTTTTTCTAGTTATGAAAGCTGGAGATATTGTCTCTGTTTATTCTGATATTGAAGGAAAATGTAAAAAAGGAGCCAAAGAATTTGATGGAAAAAAAGTATTTCTTGGAAATGGGATTTCTGAACTGAGCCGCAATGAAATTTTCAGTTTGAGCAGTCCACTGACGTATGTTAAAAGGTGTTTTATTAAAGAGCTATATTCTTTTATTTATTTAAAGAAAATTTAAAAATTTTTAAGTATACTTTGAATTTCATTATAAGAGTGAATAAATTTATTTAATGTCAATTTGTCTAGAAAGCAGGCAATGATTTTTAAAGAAATCAAATTTCTTAGGTAAAAGAGTGATATGGTCAAGTCAAGGAAGGCAAGCAAATGTCTACCTTTTTGTTTGCCGTGTTATTTTTATTTGATGAAATAGATTTGCTCTATGTGTTTTTTTCCTTATTCAATTAAAATATTTACTAAATATGTTTGAATGGAAAGAACCTATGGCTAATCATTGGAATTTTGTGAAAAGGCACACTTTTATGATTTAAAGGTCGGAAATAGAAAAAAAGATAGAATTCATATAAATGGTTAAAGTAATTCCTACTTTAGTTGATCCATGATCTCATCAGTGTTCATACTTCCTCTGTTAGAGCAGACTATAACCTATCCATGCCTCCCTATCTCATGTGGCATATTCACATGGCTAGCTAGGTGAGCTGCCAGGCCTGGAGTCAGGAAGACCTGAGTTCAAATGCAGCCTCAGGCACTTACTAGCTGTTATGACCCTGGATAAGTCACTTAACCTTTGTCTGCCTCAGTTTCCTTACTTACAAAGTGGGGGTAATAATAGCACCCATCTCTCAGGGTTGTTGTGAGGATCGAATGAGATAATGTTTATAAAGCACTTAGCATAGTGCCTGCCACATAGTGTAAGTATTATATAGAGTTAGCTATTATTGTCATTGCTGATGATGTTCTATATATTTTACCGGTGATCTACCTGATATACTTATGATATGCCTCTTGTAGCAGATGAGATTTCCATCTTTTATCCTTCCCTTTCTCCAGATGCTCAGCTCATCCCCTTTTCTCATCATACGTAATTTTTCTCAGATTTCGTATACACCTTCTTAGGCACAGTTACCATACTTCGCCTTTGAGAATCACCTGCAATTTTGATTTTTTTGGAGATTGTAGTATTTCATGATTCCCAGACCCAATGTATTACCAGAACAACATTGGCTTTAAGATGAGGGGCTTTAAAAAAGAATCTTGGAATCCTTGAGAGTGCTAATGCCATTTTTCAGATGCCATCCATCTCACCTTCTAATTCCTGATTCAATTCTACACCTCAATTCTTTGTCCAATTGTAGTGTCAGTCCAGATTACATCTACTGATGACAAAGCTCAGAATCATAGTCTGGTTCAAATTATATCAAGATGGCATCAATTCTTGATCATTAATGTAAAAAGAAGTAAGCAGTAGTTTACATAAGTTAAATCCCCATATAATCTTTAAACCTTATTTAACCCTAATTTCAACCTTCAGCCTTTTCTTCCAAAATTTTGTCCATAACTCGTGTTCATGAAGTAAACTATTAAATGATACGTTTGAAGACTGTAGATAAACCACTCTTGTGGATAATGGCTGCAGCTCTGTCTCTGGTGGCAAGTTTCCTTGGTTCTAGCTGATAGAAATGAACTATTCTGGAGGAAATCGAGCCTCCATCATTTGGACTTTCTGTGTCTTTCAAAGTCAGATATGGCTTCATTTCCATGGCATATTTTTCTAAAGCAAGCAATAGTTCCATATGATCTACTACATGCATAGTATATGATTATTAATGGTATGAAGAGTCTCTGTATAATAGTATACATAAATAACAGGGAACTGAACATATTTTTAATACTTCTTTTCGAACATTATAGATGGAGTACTCATTTTCTTTTCCTCTTAGCTCATTTAAAGCTCTAGGCACTATGCTGTTTGGTTTTCTGCCCTTATTTTCTGTGTAAGGCTGTATGCTTTGCAGAGGGCAAACAGCTATACCTTTAGAATTATTTTTGTAATTCAGTCTTACTCAGCCAGTTTGCTATAACTTCTATCTCAGTCTGTTGATATGTAGGGAAAAGAAAATTTTCCACTGGCCTATGGCATTCAGATTCTGTTCTCTCTTTGGAAAGTTAGGGCATTTGCTTGTCATCAGTCTTGTGATACCTCTCCTATTTTCAAACAAATGAAAGCTTTCCAAAAAAAGATAAAGATATGGTAAAACCATAAACACTAAACTTAAACACAGTTTCCCATTTATATTATTTTTAGCATTTAGAGATGAGTTATCTTAGTATACTGATGGATATAGTTTATTATCCAAGCAGCAGTGTTGGGACGCTTTGGTTGCACAAGTTCCAGCTGGCTTAAATCAGCTACAATCACAGAGATAAATAAACCTGCTTTCAGATAATTTTCTCTGCAGTCTTATAAACAGGCCTCCTCTATGTTGGGTTTATTCGTTTGACATTTAAGAATATATTTGATTATATGAAAGTACTGTTCACCTGCTAAAATAATTTAAACAGACACCCAATAGTCAAAACACTGAGCAACTCAAGTTGTAACCAATTTAGTTAGCCTGAGACCTTCCATTCAGGCTATTCCAAGGCAAAAAGGGTAGATGCTAAATATTTTCCAGTGCACAGTAAATGGATTGTATTTGACTCATACCAAGCTGCTAGTGGCTGACAGAGCTATTGAAATGGGGTTCAGAACCAAGAGTATTGGGACGTATGGCCAGTAAACTTAGTACTAAAGGTCCTTAAATTGCTGCGGGTCTAGAAGGCTAGGTAATCAGTCAAATCGAGAAGTCAGTCATGATGCAAATAAGCCATCGGTGAGCCACAGAATTTCAGAGTTCAAAGGTAACTCCTCAGTTATTTGAGCAAAGTCATACACAAGAGCAATCTGCAGTCGAACGTATCCAGCCTCTGCTGTAAGAGCAGCACCGAGGGGGAACTAAACGCCTCTGGTGGCAGTCCGCTCTGCTTTTGGACAGTTCTAATTATTCGGAAGGTTTTCCCGTCAGTAAGCCTAAATTTCTCTCTTTGCTAATTCCACTCATTGCTCTTGGTTCTGCTTTTGGGGCTAAACAGAAAAAATCCGCTGTATCTTCCATATGACATACTTTGAAATGCTTGATGACACCTATATAATACCTTCCTGAGTCTTCTCTTCTTCTGGCTGAACATACCCTTCAACCTGTCCTCTTATGTCGTAGACTCTAGGCCCTTCATCATCTTGGTTGCCTTCCTTTGAACACTCTCCAACTTATTAATGTTGTTTTTAAACCATGGTACCAAGTTCTCCAGGTGAAGTTTGAAGAGGGCAGAGTACAATGGGACTTTCATTTTCTTATTCCTGGAAATTAGGCCTTTCAATGCAACTGAAAATTGTATTAGCTTTTTTTGAAGTTAAGGTTATTGGCCTATAGCTTACAGACTTAACAGTTTCCCTTTTAGGTAAAATGGGACATTAGCCCTTCAGTCTTGTGGTACCTCTCCTATTTTCAATGATCTTTCGAACATCAGTGACAGAGGGTCAGAATTTACGTCTGCCAATGTTTTCAGCCTCCGAGTACCTTTAAGAAAGGACCCAGTACAGTTAACCCCGTGTGTCTTTGTGAATTCTCTAAGCTAAGCCTCTTATAGGAGACTATAGGGAGCTTCTTAGGGTTCCCATCATTTCCACCCCAGCAGCCAATTCCTTCCTATAGGAATTAGATCCAGAATAGAATTTTCCCTTGCTGGTTGTTAGGCCTTTTGAAAAATGAAATTCACATTAAGGCCAGACAGAAAGTTATTAGCTGTTCTGGTTTTTGTAGAAAGAGAGCGAGCTCAGCACGCAGGTGTCTGGATAATTGAAATCTCCCGATACTACTACATCGTCTCTCTGTTCCAGGCTCATGATCTCTTTGCCAAACTTTTCATCTGTTTTCCTTTTTCTGTGTGGATTGTCTATAATATGCTCCAAAGACAAAATCACTGTTTCTCCTTCCATTGACTTTCCTGTTTCATTTTGTTTTGGTGAGGCATTTGGGGTTAAGTGACTTGCCTAGGGTCACACAGCTAGTAAGCATCATGTGTCTGAGCCAGATTTTAACTCAGGTCCTCCTCACTCCAGGGCTCGTGCTCCATCCGCTGCTCCACCTACCTGCCCCTTTCCCCCTTCTTGTTCCTTTTTAATATACAGTGTTACCCATTCTTCTTTTACCTACTCTTTTTTTTTTAAAAAAAAATAAGGTATATCCCTTCTTAAAATAAGTTATTTCAGTTCATCAGATCTCAGTGATCTCTATGAGATGAATTTTGCCTACTTACGTTAGGACCTTTAGTTCCTCTTGTTTGTTGCCTAAACTTTGGGCATTTATGTGTAGCTATTCGAAGCCATACATTTTAAAACTGTCCACTTTTGTGCATTTTGTTGCCAGTGAACATCTATGTGTCTCAACTACTTTTCTTCCCTCTTTGTTGTTAGTCTTTACTGTATCTAACTTGGGAGCTGTACGTAGGCAGTTTTGTTTCACCTCCATCCCTTTCAGCTTGTAGTCCTTATGCTTAGATTTTATAAAACATCAGACAAAGTACATTTGTACTAACTTTCTCCCAAAACCAAACCAGGCAAAACCTTATACTCTTCTGGGTTTCGGTTTCTTGGTCAAGACTCTATAATCATTAATAATACTTTTAAAGTTACTTATGACAATGCCATTTGTATCTATGTTAATCGTTAGAACTGGGCAGCTTTCATTCATTGGGGGAATTCTCCTGTTATGTCTTGGATAGCTGGAGGAGACAACAGATCTTGCTATTGTTATTACCAGATTTACAGGTAGCTTCCTCAGTCAACACTCATCTTCATCAGAATCATGTTGGATGATCTTATACCTAATAGCTTCTGATGCCCAATGTATCATTCTTTGGAGGACAAGCAATTTTTCCTAAGAGCATAAGAGCTCTCTCCTCTTAAGTAAGTCTCATCAGTTTTTAATGTCTGTTTGTACAACTGCCCTCTTCCTTCCTTTTTTTCCTTTTCTTTTGTGTAATACTCTTTTTACCCTGATGCATCCTGAGAAGGGTTTTCTCCTAGGTTCTATCTCAGATCCTTTTCCCCGACAGTTGAAGCCTCTTTTCTGTTTTCTTCAGAACACTTTGTACCCCTTAACAGTAGAGTATGGAGAAGCATTCTTTGAGTACTTTTGACTCCTCAAAGAGAGAGATGAGGCTACATTTGGAAAACCGATAACAGTCAGTTGGCTGTGGCAGAAATAAAAAACCATTGCAGACTGGAAGTTTACTGTACAATTTTCCGGTTCTCCAGGAAGGTTGTGATTCTCAGCCTTGTTTCTTTGATCTATTGATAGTTTATACTTCAAGCGAAGGGTCTGGGTAAAACTTTTTATAGTCAATTATCATCTCTTAACAGCTTAACCACCCCACTCTACTTCCTTTGTGTAATAGCAACTCCACCCCGAAATCTCCGTCCTATTTAGACTTGCATCAGTTTCTTACCTGTTCAGTCAGTTGCCCAACTCACCAAGTTAAGTCAACAAGCCTGTTCTGTGGCAGGCATTTATATTTATTCCTGCTACTTTTCTCTTTTATAAGAAGTGATAATACTCATAATTTTCTACCACTGTTCTCTCTAGCATTTTAAAAATAAGTCTTAATTCTAAATGGTGGTGTCTTCTCTCTCTGCTTGACAAAGGAGATCAAATGGTTGCAGGCCATAGCAGTACCTGGGTTCGCTTGGCCTTTCCCTTTTGACAGCCACTTTATATTGGTTAAACTTTTGTGGGAAATGATGACAATCATGGTCAGCATCTTTTTTTGTTTGTTTGTTTGTTTTTGTTGTTTTGTTTTTTCCAACATTCCACTGTTTGGCATTGATAGCGCATTTGAATGTCAGATTCAAATTATTGCCATATTTCATTGTTGTCTTTTTACTTTTACTTATTCCCTAATTTGATGTTGTCCTTGGGTCCTTGGGCAATTGATTGTGGTACAATTCCTACATCAGTAAATAATTCTCTTGTTTTTGTTAAGAAAGTCCTTTTTACTGTTTGGTGATGTTTGTTGGTTACCATGCCGAGAACCTTTCCCTGTCTCTTGGAACAAAAAAGTATTCCTGGTATATGGGCACAAGACTTCTGAATTAGGTTGCAGGCCTTTAACCTCTTAAGCTTTTTTGTTAATCCTTATTTTCTAACATTCTTAACCAACTTACTTTATGCCTCACTTTGCATTGAAGTTACCAAGTATCCAAATATATGTTGTTTTAATTTGGAGGGTCTTATTAAGTTCTTCATAGAATTTTCTTTTTCATTGGATGTTGATGTATAAGCTGCACATATTTGCATAGTAATTTTTTCTTTTGCTCATGAGTACTGCAAACCAGGATAACCAGTGTACTATGAAATCATATTTTATGTTTCCTTTGGATATCATGATGAAACCCACTTTATCAATTCCTTTGTTTTCTTTTTTAAGGAGAACCCATGAGCCATCCTTTTCATTAGGGGTAACATCTTTATGTCTTTTGACTTTATTTTTAGAATTTCACTGTTGATATAATTCAATTTTTACAGCTGGTATGTCAAAATCTTACATTTAGAGTACCTAGAGTTCAGTTAATATTTATTGGATGGTCGTAAATTTTATTACTACTTTAAGTGTCATATTAAATATATATAGATATAGATTCAGGTATAGATTCAGGTATTCATTGCTTTCAAGTTCATTAAAAGTTTGGGAAATTTTATCTTAGTGTCATTTATAGTTAAATGAAAAATTAACAAAACAAGCACATTCCCTTGAAGAATTTTCTCTGACATTGTCCCACAAAATTTCTAGCAGAAATTAAAAAGAATAAGAATACATTTTTCTGCTGACTCTACTATTTCAGGATTTTTCCTGGGGCAGTATTCTCTGGGTTTTTCAATATGCAAGGGTGAGAGCTACTTACTCTTACTCTGCCATCTTGGCTTCTGGAACAAGAATAAATTTTTCTTAAAATTTTTGGGCTGTATAAATATGATTTCAGGAAGGCTGAAAAATGTATCTTTGTTATACTATGTTCACTGTTTTCTTAGAAATGTAAACTGAGTGCAGTATGTAATTTAAGTCAGATTAATGTAAGGATTCCTACATTTCAGAGGCATAGGTATACGAATGACAGAACCAGTGTATCTCAGCCCTTCATTTGACAGTGTACTGTCCAGTTCCTTGTTTTTGCAGGTAAGTATCTACATAAGTTATTTGGTGATATTTAAATATAGAGTAAGGCCTAGAATGCTATCCTTTCTCATCTCAATTCCTAGAATCCTTGGCTTCTGTCAAGACTCAACTTCTGCAGAAAGCCATTTCCCTACTCCCCTTTAACTTAGGTTATATATTTTTCTACTTTGTGTATTTCTTTTTTGTATATGATATCTTCATTTAAATATAAGTTCCTTGACGGCAGGACTATTTTCACATTTTATTTGTATTCCCAGTGTATAGTACAATCCCTGGCACATAATAAGCACTTAATAAATACTTACTTGATTAAGCTCCTGTTTGATGTTGTAAATCCTACATGATCTGTTTTCATATTTTCTAACTTAATTTTGGATCAACAGTAAATATTTGTAATTTTGCAACCTTTATCCTTTTTTTTAAACTCTACCAAGCTGCACACAGAGATGTTCTAACACTTAATTTTGTTATGACCTACAATTATTTTACTTTGTTGTTCATGCACTCTGAAATCTCATTATTTGATCATAATCTTTTATCATTCTCTTTTCCTGTGCCTTCTGATCTGTAATCCTTCTTCATTCTCTCTGTAACCTTGGTCCCCACTGGCTGCACTCTCCTTCCTTCCCTTTGTTGACCTCTTGGTGAACCAGTTCAGCTGTACCCTAGATTATTCTCTCATCTTTTGTCCCATTGTCCTTTTCCTGATCCCGTTTTTCCAGTTCCCATTTTTGGATTACTCTCGTCATTTGCCACCTCTTCTCGTATTCACATGCTGCAGAACAGAGCTGGAAAAAATCACAAATGTGTTGATTTGGGTCTCTTAGAAATTTATAATACATAATCTCCACTGGGCCCTCATTTGTGACAAGGCATTCTTTTTATGTCTCCCTGATTGATTTGTTGTCCCACTCACCACAGTGACTGGTCCAGTCATTTTTTTTCCTTCTCAAGCCTCTCTCTGACCATCCCACTCTGTTACCTCTCTTCCCCTTCTCAGTTAAACTCTTTGAGAAAGCCCCCTTACACAGTGTACTTTTAAAACTTCATCTCCTCTCATTACTTCGTAACCTTTTGCCATCTAGCTTCTGACCTTGTCATTCAACTAAAATTGCCTTCTGCAAAGTTACTGGTGATTTCATAATTGGCAAATTTAATAGTCTTTTCATAATCCTAGTCTTTCTTTCATTCTTTGCACCATTGCACCATCTCCTCCTGGATGCTTTCCCCTTTCTAGACTTTCATGAAACTTCTCTCTCCTGGTAGTCCTTCTACATGTCTGACTGATCATCTTCAGCTTTCTTTGCAGGATGTTCATTTAGGACATGCCCACTAACTGTTGGTATTCCCTAGAGCTCTATTGTAGACCTTCTGCTTTTCTTTTTATAGGAGGGGTTCTTAATCAGGTTTGTGAACTTGCTTTAAAAAAAAATACATTTTTAGGGGTAGGTAGGTGGCACAGTGGATACAGCACCAGCCCTGAAGTCAGGAGGACCTGAGTTCAAATCCGGCCTTAGACCAAACACTTGACACTTACTAACTATGTGACCTTGGGCAAGTCACTTAACCCCAGTTGCCTAAAAGCAAAAACAAGCAAACAAAAAACCTAAACAATAAAAAAATATTTTTATAACAGTATATCAATACATTTGGTTTCTTTTATGATCTTATTTATATATGTATTTAAAATGTTATTCTGAGAAGGGGTCCTTTGGCTTCAAAAGACTGCCAAAAATATAAGAATTATCTGTCCCACACTATCTTATTTAGTGATCTCATTAACTCTCGTGGTTTCAGTTATCATTCCACACAGATGAATCCCAGTTCTATATGTCTAGCTCTAGTCTCTCTCCTGAGCTTTGGTCCTCCATCATCATCTGCTTTTTGGACATCTCAAACATAACATGTCTAAAACAGCTCATTATCTTTCTGTCCAAACCTCCCCTTCTTCCCAACTTTTCTATTACTGTGGCAGTACTATAGTCCTTTCCAGCATTTGTCACACTTACTCCACATATTCATTCTGTTGCTGGGTCTTGTCCTTTACACCTTCACAACTGTCTCCTGTATGCATCTGCTTTTCAGGCCCTCATCACCTCACACTATTGCAGTGGCCTTGGTCTCTCTTGCCTTAAGTGTATTCTCCACTAAGCTGCTAAAATGATTATCCTGAAGCTCAGGTCTAACTGCATGCCTTCCACCCCTCCCCTCACTCCTAAATTCCAGTGGCAGCTTGTTACTTCCAGGATCAGTGATAAAGCCCTTTGAAACCTGGCCTTGTCCTCCCCTTTCCAGTCTTCTTATACTTTGCTCCCTACTGCACTTCTGCCTTCTGGTTACATTGGCCCACTTGCTTTTACCTTTTACGTGCCGCTCCATACACTGGCTCCTTGCCTTTGTATTGCCTATTTCCTGTGCTGGCCCTTCTTACCTCCATACCGTGGCTTCTCTGCCTTCCTTCAGGACTCAGCTCAGATCTCACCTTGAGATCACCTTCCATCTGTTCTGTTGATCTCATGTTGTTGTTGTTGAGTTGCTTTAGTCGTGTCCTACTCTTTGTGACTCCATTTGGGTTTTCTTGGCAAAGATAGTGGATTGGTTTGCCATTTCCTTCTCCACTTCTCCAGGTCATTTTACAAATGAGAAACTGAGGCAAACAGGGTTAAGTGACATGCCCAGGATTCACACAGTTAGTGTCTGAGGCTGGATTTGAATGCAGGTCTTCCTGACTCCAGGGCTGGCACTCTCTCCACTGTGCTTTCTAGTTGCCCTTATGTGTGTCCAGTTATTTACATGTCTTCTGATTAAAATGTGAGCTCTTTGAGAGCAGGAATAGTGTTTTTTCATCTTTGCCTTCTCAGTACTTAGCATAATTTCTGGTAAGTGCTTAATAAAAGCTTGTTGATTGGCTGCCTTTAAATTTTTTTCCTGACCTGTGATTTCAGTGTAGGGATGTGCATTGGTAAAGGTAGTTTCTTCAAGGGCCCTACACAGATGAAATCACAAGTTTGAACCATAAAAAGGTGGGAGTGTGAATTTCAATGTGTCAGCTACCTCAAATAAGGTACACTGGCAGCTCATTTCTGAGGCAGTTGCGTGGTGCCACAGTCCACAGAGCACTGGACTAGGAGTGAGGAAGACCTGAGTTCAGATGCAGCCCCAGGGTAGCTGTGTGACCCTGCGCAGGTCACGTAACCTCTGTTTGCCATAGTTGCCTCAACTGTAAAATGGGTGCAATAATAGCACCTGCCTTCCAGGGTTGTTGCGAAGATCTAACTAGATATTTGTAAAGCACTTTGTACAATACCTGACACATAGGAGGCACTTAATGAATGCTTGTTTCCTTCCTCTCTTCTTTTGTATTAATTTGGATCTTTACTTTAACAAGTCAGTAGTCTGACTGCACACATCAGTAATCAGTTGCTTACTGTCTCTTAAAATATGATGCTTGGGGGCAGCTAGGTGATGCAGTGGATAGAGCGCTGGCCCTGGAATCAGGAGGACCTGAGTTTAAATCTGACCTCAGACACTTGACACGTACTTGCTGTGTGACCCTGGACAAGTCGCTTAACCCCATAGCCTAGCAGAAAAAAACAAAAATATGATGCTTTCTGGTTTGTGATGCTGTATCTCTGTGTGGTAGGAACAGTCCTTGTTTTGGGCTGCTGGTGAATGAAGCACCCTAGGGACCAGCACTGAAGAGTGGTTGGGCTGCTTTGCCTGAATATCACTAAGGCTAGGATTGCATCCATGACTGGACAGCAGTAGCCTTTTATCTCTCTTTTAAGTAGAAGTTTTATTGTTTTTCCCCCCCACTTAATAGTATTTTATTTTTTCCAATTACATGTAAAGATAGTTTTCAATAGTATTTTTATAAGATTTTGAGTTCCAGGTCTTTTTCTCTTTCCTTCCCCCCCCCCGCAACAAGACAGCAAGCAGTCTGATATAAGCTATACACATTCAGTCATAATCAATGTATTTCCCCATTAGCCATATTGTAAAAGAAAAATCAGAGCAAAAGGGAAAAACCACAAGAAAGAAAGAAAAAAAAAGAAGAAAATAATATCCTTTGATCTGCATTCAGACTCCATAGTTCTTTCTGTGGATGTGGATAGTATTTTCTATCATGAGTCTAGAAGTTTTATTCTTTCAATTTCTTTTGATCAGTAATGTTTTAAAAATTGCATTTGATGTTCTCTGAGCATCCTGAGCCTGAATTTTACTACGTTAGGCCTGGCCTGGAATAGAGTACATCAGGGCATCTGCGTGATTAAACAGTTTTTAGGCTTCTTTTCTGCCTTTCTCCTGATCTGTATTTTCCAACATATTTTAGGTGTCTAAATTATTCACTAATTTAATTACCTTATGTAGTTTAAAAACAAAAATTACTTTCTGGTGTACCCCTTACTCCCACCTCTCAACCATTAACATTTTTATTAAGAAGTATTTTGGACTCCCTAGATATCCTGTAAGCATTTCTGAATACAGGCAGTCCTTGGTGAAATGACTACATGTAGATAGATCCAGAATGACTCAGTATTTGAGTAAACTGGGTAGAATTTAAGCATTAAAAATAAATAGTATTGTTGCTATTCTTCCACATTTTTTTGACAAATGATAATTAAAATTGGGGGAGAGAAATGTGAGAATTGTTCTAATACTGCTCCAGGAGAGGCATAATTAATTTCCTCCACCCCTTTCCCTCCCTGGGCTGCTTCATCTACATCTTGATTTTCATTCCCTTGAAAATCAGAATTTCAAAGGGATTGAATAACCTTGTAAGTGTAAATTGCTTTAGTTGAGTGTGTTTGGGAAGCTCAACTCTCTAACCTCCTGGCTGCCAGTTGTATGGTGACGCATTTGAGTCTGGGATTGATCTATGTTTGTATTCTATGCCAGACACTGGTTCTGTTATCTTGGAAAAGTCATTTAACCTTTCTGAGCTTCAGTTTCCTCCACTGTAAAATGGGAATAAAGATAGTTGTGAGGACCAAATGAGATTAAGCATGTTATGTGCTTTAGAGTCCTGTATAAATGTCATACCATTATGATTAGTAGTGGCTATAGTAGTAATTATCCTAGTCTTCTATAATAGGTAACTCGAGATTTTAGATTTTGTTCTCATTTTTAGTGGGGAAAAAAACTACATTCTTTCCAGGTGATATCAGAAGCGTAAACGAATGTTTCACCTGTTTCCTTCCTTTACTCTTGTTTTTAAAAAATTATTGAAAAAAAAACGGTGGGGAAAAATCAGTAGTGAGTGTTGCACAATTACAAATTTCAAATATGGCCCCAAAGAAGAGGTACGTGAAGACATTCTTCCCACACTCGCTGCAGATGTAGGAGGTCTACAAATGTGAAACGTGGTCTGTATTTTCAGACTTTTTCAATTTGTTGGTTGGTTTTGCTAATATTTTTCTTTTCCTCTTCTTAGATATTATTTCTTTATATGTGATGGCTCTCCAGGAAAAGGAGGGATACTGGGATAGATTCTGGTGTTGCAAAAAACCAAAACATATTAATAAAGTTTATTTCTAAAAAGGAAAATATTCATGGGAGGCGGGCAGGGCTTTCAATGCACCTTTGTACTGAATTCAGATGTAGAAAAAAACAAAACTGTGGTGTATATGCACTTTTTGTGATAACAGTCGTTTTTGAAAAGCCTGTACACCACGGGAATCACTTAAAGTCTAGATGATGCAAATTAGTCACATTGCCAGAATTTGTTATGTGAGTGTTAGAACATTTACTTTCAAGTGGCAGTAACTAACTGTGCTTTAACTGTGCTTGGTATATTCCGTGGGGGCCATTGGCAATGACAGTTTGATGAGGGAGATTGCTTGTATTTCTTCTCGTTGTTAGGGCTTAGGTAGATGTGATCCTTAGTACTTGTGATAGAGGAAATATGTTTGTGTGCATTTTTAGTATGATGGCATTCCAGTCATTTCAGCGGTGATCATAATTAATTCAGAGTTATTTAGGGGGATTATTTTTCCTTATTTTGCTGCCTTCAGAATTTGCCTTCTGCAGTGGTGAGCCATGTTTTGGATCCTCAGCCAGGAGAGAAGATTCTGGATATGTGTGCAGCACCTGGAGGCAAAACAACCCATATTGCAGCATTAATGCGTGATCAGGTAAGACTGCTGTCAGGGAGATCTTATCTTTAAATGAGGAAGGTCTGGGTTTTAAGTCAGCTAAGAGGCACCTTCTAACCTCTGACTATGAGGATTAATTGATGGGTTTTCATAGTCAAAACGAACAGTTTAAACGTAGTTGTAAAAGTGAGGATGCGTTCAGTTCTGCAGAAACCTTAAGTAGATCCTAAATAGAGGAGTTCTGTCTTTTTTTATTTATTGTGAAAACTTGGAGTAAATTCTATCATCGTAAATTATGTTTTTTCTTTATTTTCTTGGGAGCATGATAATCTTTTTCTCCCTTGTTAAGCACTGGTAGGTGGGCTGTATCAGGCTGATAGCATTGAGATTAGAGAAGAAGTAGCTGAGGCAAGAGAGTCTGCAGAGGTGGAATTGACAAGAGCTAGGAGACGTGAAGGGCAGAGAAGTGTCAAAGCTGGCAGTGTTAACATAGGATACTGCCCCGGCAGAAATAGTAAAATCAAAAGCAGTTGCAGTTTTTGCAGGAAGGATAATGAAAGAAATAAAGAATAATAATTGGTGGTAGGATATCAGTGTAGAAATGCCCTCCGAGAGCAGCTGGAAATGGAGGTCTGGAGTTCAAGAGACATATCTTGCTTCCGGCCCCAACTTGCTGCTAATGCAGCTACCACTTCAGTTCAGGCCCTCATCGTCTCTCCCCTAGATTATTGGCAGCATCAAACGAATTGGTCTCTCTGCCTCATTTCTTATCATTTCCAGTTCATCCTGTACACTGCTGCCAAGGTAATTTTCCTTCAGCATAAATCTGACCCTATGACTGAGTCCTATACTCAACCAATTCCAGTGGCTTCCAGTTGCCTCTAGAATATAAACTTCTCTGTTTGGCTTTTAAAGCCATATAAAACCTCATCCCAACCTCTTGTTCCCTCTCCCGTACTCTCCAGTCCAGTCAGATGCTCTTGACTCTTGTTCCTGTCTCGAGATTTTCCATCCACCTCTTGCTTTTGCACTGGCTATGCTCCGTGCCTGGAATGAACTCATCTTTATCTCCCCTTCATAGAGTGCTTCTTTTCCTTTCAGATTCAGCTCAGGCTTTCTGCAGAAAGCATTTCTTCATCCCTCACACTGCTAAAGCCTTCCCTCCCAAATGCCTTGTATTTAGCTACTCTAGGTATATAAACTTTATATTTATGCTGTATATATTTGTAGTTGTAGTTGTCTTCCCATTAGAATATAAGCTCATTGTAAGTAAAGATTCTTTCATTCTTTGTTCTTGTATCCCTTGGTGCTTGGAACATAAGTACTTATTGATTGATTAGAGATAGATACTGTATAAAACCTCAACTGGGATCTGACTACTGCACTCCAATCTTTATTTTTCTTTGATTGACAGTTATGCTTCCCACAAGATTCTTATACCATCTCTTCTCTCTCCCTTTCAGAAGAAGCTTTATGCCTTCAACTTTACTGAGATAATTAAGGCCATCCCTCTTGTCTCCATTGCATATCTCTAAACCCCTCAAAACATCTCAGAATATCCTCCATTCTATCAAATCATCTTTTCTTGATGCTAGTTATACTCCCCCAGAAGTGCAAGAGGAAAGAAACCTCATTATCTGGGTCATATTCTATTTTGCATTGGCTAAGATAGTTATAAACATTTTTTCTGGTAATTTGTAGTGCTTATTAATTGACCAGATAAGTGACATTATTCAGGAAAACAAAATATTACATTAGAAAGGTGAAATTCTGGAAAGGGCATGGAACAAAATCCACTGATTTGCAGGCTCAGGCTATTCATTACTATTTTCGCAGTCCATTTATCTAGAATTTTACTCAGATTTTTTCTGAACAACTCAAAATGTCATGTCAAATCTTCTATTATAGAGAATTGCCTTTGTAGCTAATCCTATAAATCACCTCAAGGAAGAGATCTTACAAATAGAAAAGTGGATACATATAGTGTAATTCTTTTAGGATTGAGCAGTCCTATTTCAGCAAACAGTTAGCATGAAGTGCCAGGAGAACTGAATTTACGTCTGCCTTGCTTTATGCTGTGGTTATGTTTTATGCACGTTTGTGTTTAAATTAAACCCTATTTTAAGCACATTCATAGTTTGCACCCTAAAGTGGACCATTTAAAAAAGTGAATAATATTCACTTGAATTTATGGATGTGGATTATATGTTTATCTAAATAAAAGTATATCTTGTAATTATTGATTTTGTATGAGCAAAATGTCTTTGTGTTGTAAATAGGACAGTATAGTGAAGTTGCATAGAGACAACTTAGAAAAATAATTAGCCAAAAATTTAATTCCAAATCTAGCTTTATTTGTATCAGCAATGTTTGGTATTTTTGTTTTCAGTCAAATGAAAGAAAAAGGCATTTTGGTTAAGAATAAGAGGGTTGTTTTTTTTTAAATAAAGCTCTTAGAGAAGGAGATTTAACCATATCCTCCCTAACCCAGTCCAGTTTCTTAAATCTTTCTTTGTCAGGATATTATTCTTAATGACTAGTTCATATCTTTTGTACTACATCTTAAACTCATTTCCTTCATTCCTGTTCTTAGTTATAAAAAACTGTATCATTGTTCCTCACATATTTTGAGGCTATTAAATTAATTCTTGTCACCAAACAAGATATTTCCAGCCTTCACTAACAGTATTTTTCTTTAACCCTTTGTTTTTTAAATCCTGTCCATATTCCTTTGAGTTGTGGAATATGCTTCAGTAAGAATATGAAAAATGTTAAATAAAATAGGAATATCTTTAATATGTCAAGAGATCTCTGATTTCATTGGCATGAATACTCTTTGGGAGAGGCTATTGAAGCTGTTACAATTAATTAGCATATTTTAGGTCATTGATGCAAGTACAAAAACGATAAAAACAAGGTAATAAATTTAAAAGGTCAGATCTACTTCATATTAAGTCCCATTTACTTAATACTTCAAAGTTTCATGATTTCATTAGTGTGGGTACTTATCACCTCATACAAACTTCTTGAGAGTGGCAGCCATGGCATATTGCATAGAGTGTTGGACTTGGAAATTAGGAAAACCTTGGTTTAAGTCTCATTTCAGACACTTACTTGCTGTGTGATTCTGGGTAGTCATCTCTAAAATAAATGGGTTAGACTTGACCTCTAAGGTCCCTGTTAGCTATACTTTATAATCTTAAGATTCTTGTGATAAGCCACTCTCTCTATGATGAGCAGGGCTCGTTGATCTTTGTACAATAGCTAGTGATAGAGCTGACTGTTCTTTTTATGTAGTGTTAAACTTTTCTCTCCTTTTTTTTGTCAACATGTACCATTTTTACTGTACAATTAACAAACCATAATATTTGTTCATACTGTAATATTATTTGTAATATACTTTGGCTTGTATTTTTCTTCTGATTTCAACTGTAACAATTCATATAGTTATATCTTAGAGAATATGTGTACATATATATATATATATGTGTATGTATACATATAACACACAGATTAAGGAAATTCTTGAGCCATGTTAAAGTAAAATGAATAAGCATCCAGTGCAAGTATGTCTTAGAGTTAAGGGCAATAAGAACTGAATGTTGAGTTTTGTTTTTCAAGAGGTGAGTAGGGTACAGGGTACATTGTCATCCAACAAGATAATGATTGTTCTGTTTACTTCTGGAAGATATATTTTGTCTCAAAGTTCCTTTTGGCATTTTGCAAATACTATTATTATACTTCTTTTTGAGCTTTGCTTAAAAGTAGCTTGGCATTGTGTTAATTTTCCAGTTTTATTTAGATTAAGGGTATTTTCTCTTAAAGTCAAGCTATCTTTCAAATCAGCTAAAAAAGATAAAGCTAAAAAAGATGTTGGCAAAAAACATGTTTTATAAAAGAAAAGCACTAAAATGTATGGTTAGTCATATCTTTAGTACCTTCCCTACTATAGTAGTGAAATGTATGCATTTATTTAATGAATTTGTTCTTAAAATTAGGAGTAGGGGGAGAAAAACTATATTTTCTTATGAATTTTCACATGTTGTTGAAAGTGTTAATGACTATATTGGATTTATATTTCATTTAAAAAATTTCTGTAGGGTGAAGTAATAGCACTGGACAAAATACCCAACAAAGTAGAAAAAATAAAGCGAAATGCTGCATTATTACAGTTGAGCTGTATCAGGGCCTTCTGCTATAATGGGACAAAGGCACTTGGGAAGGCAGAGAACGGACAAGGTAAGGTTTTTAATTTTAAAAGCTTTTGAAACTAGATTTTAGAGACAAATACTAACCAAATTTGTGTTAGTTGTGTTAAAACCATGTTAGCATCTGTAAGTCTTTGCAACCTTGATGGTGAAAACAGGGCACTTTAGCACAGTGGGTATGTTTAATATACTTGAACCCTATAAACCCTCTACCTTATAGAGGCATTCATTTTAATTTCGGGTATCACAAAAACCTTCTGTTATAATTTAAGCTTTTTTGTTGTTGTTGTTGTTGCTGTTGTTGTTGTTGTTGTTTTAACAGCTCAGCTTCTTAGCTCATTTTCACTTTTTTTTTAAGTTCTTACATATTTTGCCTTAAGATGACATTTTTAATGTGATGGCCACTGTATGTGTTTTTAAAAATTATGGTAAATTAGTACAATATTATATATGTCATTGATGGAAAAAAAAGTTTTGTTATGGAAATCTTTATAGATTTTTTTAATTTTTCATTTGTTTGTTGTGCTTCCAGTTTCATCCTTAAGTAGTCTGGGGATATTCTGGCATAATTGGGTCTCTCACCAAACTTTATATAACCTTATTTTTATTACTCTTTATGTTTTGTGACATTATAAAGCTGATAATCTTCTATAATCCTATCTGTAAAATTTTTGTGAATGACTTTATATTTTAAACTGGTGGTGTTCTTGGCTGTGCTATTTCTAGGCTTGTTGAGGGAATTGATTACTTGCTAGTTAAGATAAAACAGTAATAAGATCATGTCTGAATCTAGGTCATCTAGCCTAACTTGGTCATGTGCCTTGGAAAGAATGAAATCTTCTCTTCTCCTGGCACCTCTCAAGGTACATGTCCTTAAAGGTTCTTGCTTCGACCATTTTCTCTTCTTCAGTGTTTGTTGGTCATCTCATCTGATCCCTCCCCTTCATGTGCCACCTCTGTGTAGATGACTTTCAAATCTATACCTTCACATCAGTGTCATCCTAGGCTTCCATTCCTGTGTTGATAATTGCCTGCTGGATTTTGCCACTCGACCATTTTATTGGCCCCTCAAGTTCAACATGCCCAGTATTAAAGTCCTTATCCCCCAAAGCCCGGCCCCTCCCTCGCCCTCCCACATCCCGTCAGTTGTCAGACCTTTCTTTTCTCCCTCTGCTGTATTTCTTGCTCGTGCTTCCTCTCACCCATTCTCAGTGCAGCCATCAGCTCGTGTCCAGCTCCCCAGCTGGTCTTTCTGATGCCAGTCTAGCCTTTCTCAGTGGTCTGTAGAACTTCCTGCTACTCCTGGTGGGCTGCCAGATAGAGTAGAGAAGGCAGGAGCTTGGTGATCCAGAGCCCCCATCCTCTGCACAGAAGCCACTCTTCTAGCCTTTTCTCACACGGCAGCTGTACACACACACACACACACACACACACACACACACACACACACACACACACACACGTGTGCGCACACTAAACTGAATCTTGCTCCATCCCTAGTTTTTTTGACCTTTCCTGTTTTCTTGTGCCTCATCTCCTTGCCCAGACTTCTGATACCACTTTATAAAGAATCACTTTGTGCTTTTGTCACTGTCCCATTGATTGTAGTTATTTGCATGCATTCCTTTTCTGGCTTCTTATGAAGTAAACTACTTTTGAGAAGAGTCTAGGTTTAACTGTCTTTGTATCCCCAGTGGTTATTGCAGTGCCCTGCATGTCGTAGAGGCCTATAAATGTTAGCTAATTGAGACAAACTACAAGAAGTAGAGAATGGGTGAAGATAAACAGATTTTGAGTTTAAGAGTACAGAAGTGTACAGAATATAGAAATATCAGATGATCCTGAGGCAGTGTGGCAGCATGGTGGATTTCAGCCTTGAGCCTAGAGTTGGGAAGACCTGAGTTTAAATCCTGCCTGAGACCCTTGAAGCTGTGTGGCCCTGGGCAAATCACTTAACCTCTCTGGGCCTAAATTTCCTTATCAGTAAAATGAGAGAATTGGATTTGATGGCCTCCTAGCTCTAAATCTATGAGCCTAAATAAAGGTGGTGGGGGAGGGTTGAGGGAAAGAAGAGGGAATAAGCATTTAAAAAGCACCTACTGTGTGCCAGCCACTGTGCTCAATGCTTTATGATTATTACTTCATTTGATCCTTACAAGAACCCTACAAGGTTGGTAGGTGCTGTTATTCCCATTTTAAAGGTGAAGAAACTGAGGCAGGCAAGAAGTGAAGTGACTTGCCCAGGGTCACACAACTAGTAAAATGGATTTGATCTCAGGCCTTCTTGACTCCAGTCCCCATGATCTCTGTCCAGGCCACCTGGCTGCCAGATTATGATTCTGCTAGACAAGTAAGCAGGGAAGTCCTGCTGAGTGTGTGTGTGTGTGTGTGTGTGTGTGTGTGTGTGTGTTGGGATGGCAGGGTGAGAAGCGCAGAAGTTTGGAGCAATCACTGTGAGAAATGTGTGAAGTAGAGACAAAGACAGAAATTTCTGAGCAGTGCTGAAGGGCCGGGTGACACCAGATAGCCTGGCTCTGTCGTGGACCCAAGCAGCTTGCTGTGTGGCTTTCTTTAAAAGGGAGTGACTATGTGCAAAGGATGCCTGATAGAGCTTTACAGTTGGTCAGGTACATTACGTGTCTTACATTACTTAATGTTGGCGCCTCACAGCAATCCTTTGAGATGTGCAATTATCTCCATTTTAGAGATGACGAAACTGAGACCAAGGCAGAGGTCAAATGACTTACCTGATTCCCTGAAAGTCAGAAAGGTGGGAGGAAAGGGATTCTTACTCATGGATAGCATTATACTAAGAAGTGACGATGTGGTCTGGATCATCTAGTGAGACAAGTTAAACTCTGAGGGAATTGATGCCTGAGAGAATGTGGAGGCCCTTAGGGACTGGAGATCAAAAGGAGAGTGAGGGAATGGGAACTAGGGGAGCTAAAGAGATTATAGTCTAAGCAGAGGACCTCCATTCTAAGACGTGGCTTTTTCAGTGTATGGTTGGAATAAAGGTTGTCAAAGCTGAGGGCTAGAACCACATCCTCAGAAACTGCCTCTTTGGGGTCTTTTTCCTTGGTTTGTGCTGTGCTAGATCTTGAGTTGCACTGGAGTTGATTCTAGACTCTGAGACTTATTTAAAGTTGCTTACTGGAATTGGGCTACAAGGTATCATTTTCCTAGACCTTCATATGACATTAAATTGTAATCAGCACACATCCCAAATACTATTACAGTTTCAGTTTTTAAAGGTTCTACATAAAATCTGTGTTAAAGTTTAGGCCAGTGATAACATATTACTTCTTAGGTGAGATGAAAAGCTTTTCTCTGTTATTATTGCTCTTATTGATCTGTTATTACTAAATGTCTTTTCTGATACTTGTAATATTTCAATAGTCATTGGTATCTGTTCCAGATTTGTTAGGGTAAGTTGGAAACATACTCATAATTCCAATTACAGGGGGACCACCATTCTTACCTGAGTCCTTTGATCGAATTCTTCTTGATGCTCCTTGTAGTGGGATGGGACAGAGACCAAACATGGCTTACACTTGGACTCTAAAGGAAGTGACATCTTATCAGCCATTACAAAGAAAACTCTTTACTGTGGTAGGTATTAATCATTCAGCTTCATTTCACTAATTTTACATTTCAAAGAGGCATATTGTTAGAGGCTCTAGTATAGGTCCATGTGGTTAGTTCCTCTGAATGTTGAGTAAACCTTAAAATTATGCTGATGGTTATTGTTATATCAATGATACCTACAGAAACTTTTATACATTCAACTTCAGCCTATTGGGAAATAATTAAGTGACTTAAGTAGGGTCACAGAGCTAGTAAGAATTTGAGGCCAGATTTGAACTTAGAAAGATTGTGAAGATCACCTAGCAGGATAATATACCAGACAGTGAGATCCTTTCTTGAACTAAAATGCCAACCATTTAAACTTTACTGCACAGAGTGCAACTCCAGTGGTCTGGCCATGTTGTTCAAATGCCAGATGTATGCTTGCCTAAAAGATTATTTTATGGAAAACAAACACGGGGCAGGCACTCACATGGTGGTCAGAAGAAGCAATCTGAGGACACTCTCAAGGTCTCTCTTCAGAACTTCGGAATTGATTATGTGACATGGGAGACACTGGCTTAGGACTGCCCAGCATGGTGTGCCCTCATCAGAGAAGGTGCTCTGTGTGCAAAGCAGAATTGAAGTAGTTCAAAAGAAATGCGAGATACACAAATTTAGAGAATCCACCCCAAATGTTCCCATACTTGTGCCCAATGTGTGGTAGAGCATTCCAAACTCATATTGGTCTGATCAGCCACAGTTGGGCACACTCTAACTTGACTCTAACATAGTGATATCATTTTGGTCCTCTTTGAGAATGAAGGACAATTAATCATTGGGAAATAGGCTTTCACTATAAAAATTATCAATTCATTGGTGTAGAGAAACATAATTTATACCTTTTAACTCTTATCCAGGAATAATAAATTGATTTCAGAATATAATACTCAGTTTGAACAATCTACTTTTTTAGCTGGTTCTCAGTCCTTTAAAATTGAATGTGAGTAATACTTTCTTTGTGGTGTTTTCATTGGTTCCCATGAAATTTCTCTCTTCTCATGGATATGTAAAGGCCAGATTAGTAATAGAAATAAAAAAATTTTCTTTTTCTGCCTTTTTCCCCGGAGAATTTTCTGTTTAGCTTTCCACAGGCTTTCCTTCTTGCTCAAGCGTTGTAGTGGGTGGATCATTTGTCTAGTTTTCAATTGAAGATTGAATAATGTACAGCTGAGAACCAGAAAGTTGCAAAAAGCTATGAGCAATGAGGAAAGTATTACCACAAAGCTTTACTTCTTAGATAAGGTATGGTGCTGTCTTGAGGACCTTGTACAGTTTATTGACACGGAATTGTGTACAAAATAAGGACTGATTTAACAAGATTGGTGATTTCTTAGTTACGTAAGAGCAAGAGGAGTTACACGGTGAAGGAGAAGACAGAACAGCTATAAAAACATGACAGTCAGGAGCCATTTATCATAAGAATAAATAGTCCTCCCTAAGTTAGACTTATATCAGTGTCCCTAAAGATGATCATGGTGGGCTTGAGTCATCCAGAAAAAGTTAAATATGCTCACCATACACGACAAAGTCACTGTCTATACTCTGTTTAATATGGCAGGGAAATTAATCCTTTAGAGGAGAAGTTTTTGTATTCATTCAATTTACTGTACAGCTCCTGTGCCCTAAAGGGTACTGTCCAGTTTTGTTTTGTTTGTGGCTTTGTTTTTCTTAAGCTAGAATTACTCAAAAGTATTAGTAACTACTTTTGTTATTTGTGTTTTCTCCTCTTTCATCTTTTCTTCTCTCCATTTTGAAGAGAAAATTAAGAAGAAAATTTTTCTTCTACAATCCTGTCTTGTCTGTACATCTTCCATATCTCTTTCTCCTCTTTGGCTTTGAAATGGCAGCCACTCTTCTCTAGAAAGGTTTATTTAAATACATTTTGTCCTTGTGAAGATGAATGATTACAATAAAGAGCACACAGATGATTGCCACTATGGTAGAGACAGAGCTGATATCTTATTTATTATATCTTCCCAGTTGCTTATCATTTATCTTGTTTGGTTTCCCTCTGCGCCATAAACTTTATGAATTGAGATGAGATTATAGCATTTTCCCTAGTACCAAGATTCTTCAAACCTTAAGTGGGAAAGGAAAGGACATCTTAAAACATAAACACGTGTTTCATACTCATTTGCAAATCATTGCTGGATTCCTGTCCTCCCATCACTTCTGTAGCTGCTGAAAGCAATCTTTAGTTGAAAGTGGCACTTTGTAGGTAATAGAGGAATTACTGAAGGAAGAAATTGTGGTTTGGGAAATGTGTATTCCAAACAATGTTGCCACCAATCAGCTCAGTCCATGTTCCTTAGTAAATGGGGTTAAAGGTTCCAACCATGAGTGCTCGCAGGCTGGAAACTAAATAGTCCATATCAGATAGCTTACATTTCCCAATCATTTGATTTTGTTCTACAAATCCTTGCTGTCTCATGGAATCATTGATTTTTGTTTGGTCCGTTACAGTTTTCAGAGAGTTTGTTGCTTGGGTCATGTTTGTCGATTTTTCTTCTAAGCTGTTTCTTTTCCTTCCAGAGCTTTTATTTCTTTTTTTATATTTTGCTTCATTTTTTTCCTAGATATTCATGTAGTCCACATGGAAAAGCAGTTTTTCCTTTGGGTCCGTACTTGTAGTTGTTGCAGAGTGACTATCTCCTTCTTTGGAGGATCTTTAGATTTGCAGTAATTTTTGGTGCTGTCAGTGTTTCCTTTAATTTACTCATCTCCAGCTTTAGGCCCTGTCCCGTGATGTACTTTTAGGGAGGGCGGTTAACCCTAGGTCACATGGGTGCTTGTACTAACCCGTTCTTCCCTCACCATGTCTTTGAACCTCAGAGCACTGCATCTTCAGGGCTTTACCTGGCAGGTGTCTCGGGACAAGGTGCTAGGGACCCAAGAGTACCTGGGTCTGAGGTATCCTAGACTAAGTGCTTCTGCTGCATGCTGGCTACTGCCTTGTGCTTCCCTGATCTTCATTCTGGGGGGCTTCTGATTACTTAAGAAAGCTCTCTGCTCTTAACTGCCTCTGCACTCCTAGCCTTGCAGGCTTCATGTGTCCCTGGTGCTCTCTACTTGTGCTGGGACTGCTGGGGAGGGGAATACTTTCTTACTGCCCTTGAACTTCTCACTGATCTTTTGTGCAGTTCTGCAGTAGAAGTGACTTAATGGAGTGTCTCATTGGATTTCTCGATCATCATTTGGTTTGGTATGAACTTGAGGCTTTTGCTGGTGTTAAGTGGACTGCCCCTTCTCAGGCATATTGTAGGAAACACTGGGAACTTGGATACTTGCACGAAAATTTACCTCCCTCCAGCCTGATTAGAATGAAACTGCTTTGTAGAGAGGATGGAGAAAATCATTGTGGTAAATATACTGATTATTTAATGATTGATTATATCTTCAGGTGGACAATAATCTAATTTAAATGTGTGAGCTTTTGGGTGGGGCAGGATGGGGATGAGGAGAGAGATTGAGATTGGGCTCTAATACCCATCAAGTCAAAAAAAGGCTGTCTGTCGCTCTGTGCCTCAAACCTTTCACCAACCCCTTCATACTTTTACCTGGAAGCTCAACTTTTAATTCCTGTTAACCTGTTCCAGTTACCTAAAACTTGATTTTGGTAAGTATTTTATTCAGACTAGGTATTAAAAAGTATTGATTTCTTCACATGACTCTGTCCTCTAGGCAGTTCAGCTGCTAAAGCTGGGGGGTGTGCTGGTCTACAGCACGTGCACAGTCACACTGGCAGAAAATGAAGAACAGGTTGCTTGGGCTCTCAGGGCTTTTCCTTGTCTCCAGCTTCTGCCTCAGGTAAGGGGGAGCTTCAGTTTCTCTTAAGTATCTGCTAGCTCGACATACCTAGGAGAGAAGAGTTTTCTCTGTACAGCTTAACAGAACCTACGGTAGGCTGTACAGGGGTTTCCCTAATTGCAACCAGGGAAACCCAGTTCATAGAGAATTGAGTTACAGGGAGGGAGGATTATGTTTTCAGGATGTTTTTGTTACTGTTTTTGTTAGCCTGGGCCATTCTAGTGAAAGTCACAGAGACAAGCTGTATTTCTGTTATGGGCTCTGAGATTGATTATTATAGTTGTAACTATTCTTATTACTCGATGCCTTGAATATTTTCTGAGAAGTTTTTTGTTTTGGGGGGTTCTTTTTTGCCCTTCTCTATAAAATGCTTTGTTCCTCATGGGAGAACATGGTGCCCAGTCTTCCTCTTGTCATTTCAAAGCTGACCAGACTTTATAGTTGTATGACATAGAAGTATATGACACTTTGTAGTGTATGACACTAGCCAAGGGGGGAAAATGGTTGAGAAGTCTAAATTTTTTGTAGCTCATTATATATACACTTTTACAAAACTTGCACTTGATTGAACCTAGAACAGTCTATGTTCTATAGGACAGTTTTAATCTGATAACTTTCATGATTACATTTGCACCTGGTGATATTTGGGGTTAAGCTTGATCCTGGAAGAAAACTCTTATTATTCCTAACACATTAAATATTACAAATTCACTTCTGTTCCTTATGTGCGACCACATAGAATGAAGAAAGGAAGGGAATAAACATTTCTGTAGCAGCTTATAGGGGCCAGGAGCTGTGCAGAGTGCTCTACAAATAGTGTCTCTTTTGGTGCTCATAAGTACCCTTAGATGTAGGTACTGTTATCATCCTCATTTTGCTTTGGAGAAAAACTGAGACAAACAAGGTTAAGTGACTTGCCCAGGCTCACAGCTAGTAAGTGTCTGAGGCCATGTTTGAACTTCATTCTTCCTGACTCTAGGTCCAGAGCTTTATCTACTGCACCACCAGCAGCCTCTGATAATAAACAAGTTTAAGCAGAGTTAGCACATCTTTAGAGTAATTTAATAGGGAATCTCCGAAATATTTTTTATATACGAGTGGCATTTTCTGTAGTTGTTATAGTGGAAAGTGCGTTGGACTGGAGCCATAAGCCCTAGCTCCACTTGTTACTTATTGTTTTGCTTTGGGTAAATTGCTTCCTGTCTCTCAACTCCATGTTCATCCTCAGGTACTGTCCACAGGGACAACACCTCTTATATACTACCTGCCTCATAGGAAAGAATGTGATGAAATCATAGAGGCAGAATTTTGGAGACCTTAGAGATCATCTGGTCTCAGGCTGTCATTATACTGATGAAATAATCTCTTAAGTGCTTTCTAACTAAAAAGTGATTAATGTATTATTCTTCCAGTTAGCATCAAGTAAACTACTTTTTCAGGAATGTCTTTTATGAACACACCCATATTGGCATTGTAAGAATCAGATGTTTGTGTTTTGCATATTGTTTTCATGTTGTGACATGAAGCAGTGATTTTTGGGCTAAGAATTTGCAGTAACAGCATCAAAGATAGCTCTCTCAGGGTTATGTAATCTTTTTTTACCAGCTAGATGTTGTCTTAAGTGATAACATTTTTTTTCCATAAGTTTTTTGTTTTCCTGAGACATAAAAACCGTTTTGATGTTTTCTTAATACCCAGGTGCTGTAGATCAGAGAAAAGCACTTTTAAATTTGTCATAATATTCCTTAGAAATTATTATACCATTGCTCTTTGAGATTCTGATAGATGAAATGTTATGTCTTATGGCAAATATATAAGGGAGAGTAGGTCCTGCTACTTCTGACTACTGTTCTTGTTCCAGTTTGCTGCCCTGGAAAATACAAAAACGATACCTCCAAAATAAAGGGACTTCACTATGCTTGTTTAAGCACTTTGTAAACTACAAAGCACTATGTAAATGACAATATGAGCTTATATTGTAATTAGAAGAAATGTTCTGGTTAATGTCATCGTTTAGCCTTTTAAGTTGATGTAACTTAATGTAATTAAGTAATGTGAGTTAACATATGCATGTATCAGTTACAAAGAAATAAGAAACATGACTGTTGTAATAGTTCTTGATGACTTTCTACAAACAGGAACCACATATTGGAGGAGAAGGAATGGTAGGAGCTGGCCTATCAGTTGACCAGCTGAAGCAGCTGCAGCGATTTGATCCATCCATTATACCATTAAAGGATACTGACATAACCTCCATTAGAGATGCCAGGAGAGAAGACATGATTTGGTTAGCAAATAAGGACTGTATAGGGTTTTTTATTGCGAAATTTGTGAAACGTGAAAGCTTTTAGGAAAAGAACTTTCAGAAGTCAAAATTCCACCAAGTGTTTGCTGCATAAAAATATTATTGCTGCAGTGTTGTCAGGCCAGCAGACTGATAACATGGTTGCTGTGGTTGCTATGGAAGCAGGAAAATGTGCCAGTTTTTCTTTTAAGAATCAAGAGTGACAGGTTAAAGAAGTCAAAGGGGTAGAGTGAGATTATGTTTATGAAGAATTCATTTTAACTTATAATGTTTGAGACTACAAAGAAGATACCTTCAGATGTATGAAAATATCTTCTTTGTTGGTCTGTTTTTGTTCATAAGGAATGTGATATAGTAAATGTCAGATTATATTTTCTACAGATTTCCCTTTTAAGTGCATATTTAATATTTAAATCACTTGGTTACATTAAAAATATTTTCTGTTCACAATTTCTTTAGTACTATCAATGTATCAGAAATTCACGTTTTTCTGTGTTTTATTCACTTTTTTCAGCTGTTACTTGGTAAATCTTATCTCTTCTAACTGAAATAAAGTTAATAGTATTTCTGGAACACTTCTAAATGATTTGATTATGTTACTTTTCATTTGTGTTAAATATGCTGTAATTTTTCTTGTTCAGTCGTTTTTCAGTTGCATCCAACTCTTTGTGACACTGTTTAGGGTTTTTTTGGCAAAGATACTGGGAATAGTTTGCCATTTTCTTCTCCAGCTCATTTTACACATAAGGAGCTATGGCAAACAGTGTAAAGTGATTTGCCCAAGGTCATACAATTAGTACGTGTCTAAGACCAGATTTGAACTCAGGAAGATGACTCTTCCAGACTCCAGGCTGGGCATGCTATCCACTGTATCACCTAGCTACAGTTAGTCGTTTCTGAAGATTTTTAACTACTAGGGAACTAACAGGTTTTTCAGGTTACAGTTTTGTGTTTCTTTGTGAATTAATGTCGTTTTTTCATTATGACACAATTACTCTTCTGCCATGTGATAGAATATATCTTGTTTAAGTTCATTTAAATATTTTAGAGGCTTCATGACACAGTCTACCAAAAAATTTTGTGATTTATGCTGCTTTAGGGAGACACAGGCCTGCCAGAGGTGTTACCACTGTTAGTAGGTCCATGCAGAATCCAAGTTGAGAAGGGATTCCCTATAGATGGTGAAGTCTTTCAGATGCTCCTATATTTGCAGATGATGTTCTGACTATATCAAGTCTTGGCACATTGCAGATTGTCCTAAACGAGAGTAATAATTATTCTGAGGAGTCTGATCTAACTAGCCACACAGGAAAACACAAGCACATGAAAGATACTTCTTGTCCAGACTACATCCAAGTGACCGGACAACATATAGAACTAAACACTGAAACCAGACAGTGAGTTAGGCCCAAAATGGAATAAAGAGGAGGACAGCCTGGCTTGTTTTAGGGAAATTGCAAAGTTCTTTCAGTGACTCTGAAGCTTCTCCCTAAAACAAGCTCCATCTTTTTAATACCAATATTCTTCTGATGATGTGTGGCTGTGAATTGAAGAACTCCAAAGAATCAGAGTTGATGATCACCTAAAAGGCGGTCTAGAGGCACATAGTGGGTACAGACAGGCTGCAACACATTACCAAGAAAGCATTAAAAAAGGGTGAGTTAGATAGAAATGTATGATCAAAAAAGATGAGTTGGTTATGTAGGGGGAGTGAAGGATAACCAAAGGTCAGACTCTGCTCTATTAGTAGCATGCTCCATTGATAACCTCATGATGCCAAGGAAATTGGAAGTAGACCTCCCCTTCCCCTAGCATTTTGGGGGGGTGCCTTTTGGTGAAATCATCGGACTGAATGGAAGAGAGTTGCCCAGAATGAGTAGGCTTAAATGGGTTACATTCTGCATCTTGGAAGGAAGGAAGCAAGGACTTATTAAGCACCTGCCGTATGCCAGGCACTGTGGTAAGTAAGCACTTTACGGATAGCTCATTTGCTCCTCTCAACAGCTCTGGAAGGCAGGTGCTATTATTATCCTTATTTTATAGTTACAGTTTACAGTAGAGGCAGACACAAGTTAACTTGCCCAGAGTCACACAGCTAGTGTCTGAGGCCAGATTTGAACTCAGGTTTTCTTGATATTATCCATGCCCAGGGCTCTATCGGATGTCGTCTAGCTGCCCATCTTTGGTGGAAATACCAATGTCAACAAGATTATACATCCATTGTAATGACTACATTTTTCCTTTTACTAACCTTAAATGTGAGCAAGAAACTCAGGAAAACAGTCTGCATATTCATAGTGTTTGTGTTAGGCATTAGAAGAGCATTAGGAATCTGCATCATCTGTTAGGGCAGAAACTGCTTTCCTCTATGGGGCATAGCTGAGCATTTTGTCAGTTGTCTCTCTCACTGAGTTCTGTATAAATAAATACTGGCTTATGGACTTCATGGTCCTATACACCTGTTGAGGGAGATACAGAAGATTAATAAGTAGTAAACTGCCTTGACAGTGGCTTGTTAAGTGTGTAGTGATAATTAAGTTAATACGTATGAAATATTGCCAGATGGTAGGAAAAGGGTACTAAGTGGCCACAGACCTAGATTTACTTTAGTTCTCGTTTTCTTTGCAGTACTGGGCACATAGGAGATGAAACACTAATTCTGTCTTTTAAAATCATTCAGTATAATAAATGACACTCCTTTTAGAACTTATTTCCATTTCTAAGACTTAGCATGCTTCCCCTAGATGTAGAACTGAGAGGGTTAATGCATTATTTAAACAACTGATAGTTCAATCTCTGTCCATATTTTAAAATTTCCATGGCTAGTATCCCTGTCTTTGGCAAAGCCTCAAGTAATTTATGTTGGAGGAAAAAATATGTATCCGAATAGCACATTTGCACTTTGTGGGGGGGTAGAGGGAGTTGTGGTTTTTTTTGTGTATTTTGTGTGTATTTTGGTAATGATAAATACATGAACACTTTTGGCAAGAAAAAGGTGTGCAAAATGAGACAGAAAATTCAAAAGATATTGTTAAAAGTCACTTTTCCTGGGACAGAAAAGGAAGTTTGCAGTGGGTTTCGCTCCCTTACTAAAGCCTAAGAACAAACTGAAATAAAAGTTTAAAAATGCTCAAACAACCTCAAACTTAAGAGGCAAGGTAAAAATAAAACAAGACCAGTACAAACTATGAAGATAAATAGCCCATAAGAGAAGAAAATAAATATCTTGAGAAATGTGAAAATAGAGCTTCAAGGAACAATTTGTAGGCTGATAGAGTAAGTATAATTTGTATTTGCACAATTTGTCTATAAATTCACTAGAATTTATATGCATAGTTGACTGGAGATAGTCTGCAAAACTGACGTGCATTGAGATTAACAACAAATATGTTTTATATTTTTTTCCCAAACCCTAAACCACATGTTAGTTTAAATAAGTGTTAGAATGAAAATAAATGGAAGATTATAGCTTAGCAGGGGGAAAAAAAAATCTGTCAGTGCAATATAACTTCATTTTACTTGATCAACAGTTCAATGGGAATAAAAGTGATAATCCTCAGCTAACTTGTATTATCAGATGAAAGAAGATAGCATGAATGGAGAGTATAATTTATCAAGATGGCTTATTTAAAAATATTTTATAATGAAATTTAAAAAATTTTTTTCATCCTGATCGTGAATTTTATCACAGAGACAGAATTAAAAAAACAAAATGAAGAGAAACAAAATACTGCTGAAGAGTTAATTCCCATCTGTCAGAACTGTTGACATTTTTTTTTTTAGCAAGTCACTTACCTTGTTTAGGTGAAATTTGAAATGTTCCTCCTGAAATATGCCTCTTGAACAACCTCATGATTGGACTCATGTCATGGAAAGAAGAGAGTGAATTTTGGATTTCTATCATTCCAAATCCTTTGAGCTCTTCCAAAGGAAGATAAAAACACAAATTGATAGTACAGTAACAGAAATAGTAGTAGACACAATGCATTTTCTGCTAAAATAATTAGTTCTGAAACCAATTAATACTGCTGCTACTAATAAACAGTGCAGAAGCCAGCTCTTTATTTTGTTTCATATGGATAATTTTAAACCAGGATTATTGAAGAACAGTTCTGGGTAGCTGCTGACAAGTGAATGTCTCTCAACAGGAATGCATAGCAAACCATGTCAAAAGGGTGGTGACATCCCAAAGTACAGTATGTCTAAAACTAGTCCCTATGTTTAGCAGCACCTTTTTGCAACAATAAATGAAATCAGCAGTGGAGAAGGAGCATAGAAAGGAAGAATGGAAATGAAAAGGACAAGAACACAGTAAACTATTTCCAGCATTTCTCAAGATTGACTACCCAAACCATGATGCTGCAACTGAGTATGTCAATGACAAAAGCACTCATGTGAAAAGACTCCATCTTTATATTCCACAAACTGATAAAAATCTCATCATACTAGGGGTCACACTTTGTAACTTTGCCACTTTGTTTACGTTTATGCCCACTGGATAATTTTTCATGTATAACGGCTCAAAGATTTGCAACCCCACAAAAGAATCCATAAATAGGACTTGAAATGGAACTGAAACTTTATCTAAAGGTGTGAGAAATGTAAAAAAAAAAATAGCCTTAAGATAAATAAGATGGAATCCCATAGAGCTAAGGAAGGGGGGAATGAACTGATGTAGACAGTCTGGAATATTAGTCACATTTTAAGAATATAAATGATTCAAAGCCAGCAAGCTGGCCAACATGATATGTTGGAAGAGTAGGGATGAGTATCATATAGCTGTCTATTTTAGCTAAAACATTTTTTAAAGCAAGGTCATTGGAATGAAGTTCTCACTGATGCAACAAGATTTCAACATGTCCATTATAGCCACTGTTGGTACGGTACAATAAATAAATCTGTTTTAACAGTGTAAGAGATCTAATTACTGAGCATCATTTACCTACATTATATACAAAAGTGTTTCATACTGAAGGGGAAAAAAATTCAGGAATGGGTTGATAAAGCACTCCACTTGCTTTGGTAAGTTCATCTCGAAGTATGCTTTTTTCCCCCCCTTCATGGTAGGGAAGTGTGGTTATGAGAGGGAAGAAAGCCAAATTCATGATAAATTTTAATTTAAAAGATTAAAACTACTGGCTAGAGATGGGAATAAACAAGGGCATTTGAAAAAATGGAATCTCATATTATTTTTTTGACAAATGTACATTATTTGAAGTCAGGCCATTATATCCATTGTTTTTTCAGAATAAACTTCAAGTGCTAAAAACTCAGACACCTAATAATAACATTACCCATCCAATGATGTCTGGATATCATATGCATTTATAGACATCTATATTTGTCTTAAAACTATTAGCAACATTTTCAGTCATTTACAGCAGAATAACTAAAGGCAGGAGATAGTATCTTCTAGGCATTCTTCAAAGCAGATGTCTAGTGAAGAAAAGTATCCCCACGTTTTACTAGTGGCTCAGGTCACCTCATTTGGACCTGGTTAATGCTAAATAGCAGAGACTTTGGTGACAAGAATCACTTTCTAGGTTTCTGACAAACACCAGGATTGCTTGATT